AAGGCTAATACTGGTTCTTTCTGTGTGTAATGCTTCTTTTAGAAGCTCTGGTAAAGCAGGCCTGGTGGTAATAAAATCTCTGAGTACTTGCTTGTTCATAAAAGATTGTATTTTTCCTTCAGTTGTGAAGCTTAGTTTGGCTGGATATGAGATTCTGGGCTGAAGGTTCTGTTCTTTGAGGATGTTGAATATTGGCCCCCACTCTCTTCTGGTTCGTAGAGTTTCTGCTGAGAGATCTGCTGTAAGTCTGATAGGCTTGCCTTTGTGGGTAACCTGACCTTTCTCTCTGGCTGCCCTTAGTATTTTCTCCTTCGTTTCAACCCTGGTGAATCTAATGATTATGTGCCTTGGGGTTGCTCTTCTTGAGGAATATCTTTGTGGTGTTCTCTGTATTACCTGGGGTTGAATATTGACCTGCTTTGCTAGTTTAGGAAAATTTTCCTGAATAATATCCTGAAGGGTATTTTCCAGCTTGGATTCATTCTCTCCGTGGCATTCAGGTACACCTACCAAACGTAAATTTGGTCTTTTCACATAGTCCCACATTTCTTGGAGACTTTGCTCATTCCTTTTTATCCTTTTTTCTCTAATCTTGTCTTCTCGTTTTATTTCATTAAGTTGGACTTTGACCTCTGATATCCTTTCTTCTGCTTGAACAATTCGAGTGTTTAAACCTGTGCATACTTCTCAGAGTTCCTGTATTGTATTCTTGGGTTCCATTAATTCATTTATATTCCTCTCTAAGTTGTCTATTCTCAATAGGATTTCGTCAAACCTTTTTTCAAAGTTCTTAGTTTCTTTACGTTGGGTTACAACATGTTCTTTTAACTCACCAAAGTTTCTTATTATCCGTTCCCTGAAGCGTGATTCTGTTATTGGGATGCGCTCATTCTCCATCAAGTCTTGTTCCATTGTTGATGTGGAACTGTGATCATCTTTAGAAGGAGAGGCATTCTGATTTTGAGTATTCTCAGCATTTTTATGCTGGTTTCTTCCCATCATTGTAAATTTATCCTCCTGTCGTCTTTGAAATCACCAACTTTCAGATTAGGTCTCTTGAGTGGACATCCAAGTTGTTAGTTCCCAGGGCCAGAACAGCGGCGTTAAGACTGATGGTGCTTTTCTGCCCAGGATTCTCCTGTCTGGCTTCCTTCTTGTGTCGGTAATAGGTGACTCTGCCTTCCCGGGGTTCCAAACCTCGGTCAGAAGGGGAACCAGTCTCATTTACTCTGCAGCGAGAGCTGCCGCGCTGTCCTCAGGAGTCGTGCTGGGGACCCGTGTGGGTCCTCCAAACCTTGGTCAGAAGGGGAGCCAGCCCTGTTTACTCTGCTCCGAGAGCTGCTGCGCCCAAGTGCCGGTGAAACCACTGCGCCGGCCACAAGAGTCGCGCTGGCGACCCGTGTGACTCCTCCTGTGGGGATCTTGTGCTCCGTGAGCGATCAGAATTTGTCTGAAAGTGTGGTGTCCTCTAGTTCTCTGCACTTTCACTGAGAGTTGCAATCCTGAGATGTTAGCAATCAGCCATCTTGGATCGTTTCTCCTCAACTCATCTTTTATTAAGTGGTTGTGTTTGTGTTAGTGCTGAAAACAAGTTAGATGTCGTATGCCTGTTTAGGAAAGAGCACTGATGATAATAACCACAGTTAATACCTTTTGGGAGCCACATATTTTTTCTAAGTGATTAATATGCATTACCTTTTAATACCTAGCTTACAATAGCCCTATGAAAAAGGGAGTCAAGACCAGCCTGGCCAACATGGCGAAACCCCATCTCTACTAAAAATATAAAAATTAGCCAGGCGTGGTGACGCATACCTGTAATCCCAGCTGCTTGGGAGGCTGAGACAGGAGAATTGCTTGAATCCAGGAGGCAGAGGTTGCAGTGAGCCAAGATCATGCCACTGCACTCTGGCCTGGGTGACAGAGTGAGACTTCGTCTCAGAAAAAAAAAAAAGAAAAAGGTACTATTATTATCCCCAGTCTAAAGACGAGAAAACAGCCTCAAAAAGTTGAGGTAACTTGCTCATAAATAATTGAATGAGGGCCTGGCACAGTAGCTCACGCCTATAATCCCAGCACTTTGGGAGGCCAAGGCAGCAGGATCACCTGAGATCAGGAGTTCAAGACCAGCCTGGCCAACATGACAAAACACTGTCTCTAGTAAAAATATAATAATTAGCCAGGCATGGTGGCAAGCACCTGTAATCCCAGCTACTTGGGAGGCTGAGGCAGGAGAATCGCTTGAATCCAGGAGTCGGAGGTTGTGGTGAGTTGAGATTGCATTCCATCTCTAAATAAATAAATAATCGAGTGTGGATTTGAACACAGCCTGACTCCAGAGCCTTCCCTGTTAACAACTATGCTCTAATGTGTTTCTAATGCTGAGAAAATAAAAAGCAACATTTAAAAAATGAATAAGGATTTATGAGCTCCAAGAACATATTCCTTTTACTTTACCTATATTTCTATAGGAAAATTAGTCTCTACTTACATACATTAAATGAATTAATAAAAAAATGGGAAAGAATATTCCAACTATTTGGAAATTAATTAGAATACAGTAGCACCCCCCCATCCTTGAGGGATATGTTCCAAGACCCCCAGTGAATGCCTAAAACTGCAGGTAGTACTGAGCCCTGTATATATTGTGCTTTTTCCTATACATACATACCTATAATAAAGTTTAATTTATAAACTAGGCACAGTAAGGGCAGCAACAGTAATATATAGAATATTATATATTACAACAATATTCTGTAATAAAAGTTAAGTGATTGTGTAGTCTCTCTCTTTAAATATCTAAGTGTACTCACTATTCTAGCGATGCTGTGAGATGATAAAATGTCTATGTAATGGGATCAAGTGATGGAGCAAGGTGATGTGAGATTTCATCATGCTACTTAGAAAAGTGCACAGTTTAAAACTTATGAATTATTTCTAGAATTTCTCACTTAATGGGGTACTACTGTAAAGACTTTCAAAGGTTTTAAAGACTAGTAATGGTTGTCAAAGAATTTAAATGTAGGATTATATCTAAATAAATATATAATTTCAAGATAAAATGCAAATTATAATTCTCAAAAAAAGAAGCTGAATAACATAAAATGATAATCTAAAAGTAATAAACCAGCTCCAGATTACACCAACTTTTGCTGGTAAAACTAGGAAATAAGAGAAAATGCTTGAAAAAAATTTAGTGATGTTCTCATGTTACAAAGACAGGAGCTAAAAAATATTGATAATTGATATAAATAATTAGAAAAATTCAGGTACAAACTTTTAAAAAATATTTTAAGAACATCAAAGTAAAACAATGAATTCCTTTCAAATTACTTAAGGAAGCCCAAACACCCTGGCTGATGCCAATAATTCTAGTACTTCGGGAGACCAACGCAGGAGGATTGCTTGAAAACAGGAGTTCAGGCTGCAATGAGCTATGATTGTGCCACTGGACTCCAGACTGGCAACAGAGTGAGACCCATATTAAAAAAAAAAAAATCCTTCGAAAAGTTAAAGAAAATACATTTAAATTTAGAAAGAAATCAAAGAAAACATAAAAAAGAATCAGCAAAGAATCATTTTAAAAATCACAGATTACCAGTTATATGATAAATGTATTTTATTTTTATTAAGCTTACTCATTAGAAAGCTCCTTGGATATGATTTTCTTAAGTGTTTACAAGTGACACACTTAAGACAAAGATTTAGGAAGCTTAAGAGGAAAAGATAAAGATAAAAAAATAGAAATTACATCAAAGTAGAATCTCAGAGGTAAAATCACCACATGAGGAAAGAGGATCACTTTTTTTTATGATCCCTAACACAACTCCTACAACTTCATGTACTAAGTAACAGTGCTAAAATACATATAAAATAGTTTTCCACCACTGCCTCCGTTAGAGGGCAGCAGCCATGACTCTGCGCTACCCTACAGCTGTGGGTCTCAACAAGGTAACCAAGAACGTGAGCAAGCCCAGGCACAGCCACAGTGGGTGCTTGACCAAACACACTTAAGTTCGTGCGGGACATGATCCCAGAGGTATGTGGCATGAAGTTACTGATGGTCTCCAAGGGCAAATGTGCCCTCAAGTTAATCAAGAAAAGGGTGGGGACAAACATCTGTGCCAAGAGAAGGCAGGAGGAGCTGGGCAACGTCCTGGCTACCATGAGGAAAGCAGCTGTCAAGAAGGACTGAGCCCCCTGCCATCTGCCCATAATAAAAACTTTGCAGAATAAAATAAATATAAAATAATAAAATTTAATTTAAAAATAAAGCAAAATAAAATAAATAATAAAATATATAAAGTAAAAATTGTTGGCTGGGCATGGTGACTCATGCCTATAATCCCAGCACTTTGGGAAGCCAAGGAAGGTGGATCACAAGGTCAGGAGTTCAAGATCAGCCTGACCAAGATTGTGAAATCCCATCTCTATTAAAAATACAAAAATTAGGCGGGAGCCTGTAATCCCAGCTACTTGGGAGGCTGAGGCAGGGAATTGCTTGAACCCAGGAGGCAGAGGTTGCAGTGAGCCAAGATCGTGCCACTGCACTCCAGCCTGGCTGACAGAGAGAGACTCCATCTCAAAAAAAAATTGATAATGGACATAAATACAGAAAAGCAGGAAAACTTCTTTAGGCACTCATTAATAGGCAAAAATATGAAATTAAATAAAGGTCATCTTGTGTCAAATAATATAGGCCTTATCTATAATAAGAGTTTGGACTGAAAAGCAAAAGTGAGGGGAAAAAAAACTTTTCAGAATATTCTTTTGTGTAGTTATGTGAAGGATGAAGGGTGGATGAATGGACTAAAAACAGAAACACAGTCTTCCTGAATGAATGGCAATCAGGATTCTGCTGCCCAAAGTAGTCCAACAATTAAATGGATTTCTAGGAAAAGCTATCTTAAGAAGGCTGGTTACCATCTGGGTTTACAAAGTGCTTTCACATTCTTACCACTTTCAACACTACTACAAATAGGAAGGGACGGTAGCCTTTAGGAAAGAGCAAAACAGAAACTCATGGAAGCAAGAAAGGTACATGACTCAAAGAGGGAAATTCCTGTGCCACAAAAAAGTTACTGGTGTATAAAATGCTCTATATATACCAACTTTGAATTTCCTTTCATGTTCAGCATTTCTACTTCTTCCAAGAAGAGTAGCAGACCTGAAGTAGCAGCAGCAGCAAAAAACAAACATGAGTGTGAAGGGCATGGCTGTAGCCTTGGCTGTGATATTCTGCGCTATGGTTGTTCAAGGTATGTAGTACTTTTTATTTCTCAACCTAAAAGTTCCTTTTCTAATGTTTCAAATGTCTTTTCTTCCACTTTTATCCTAAAAGACATGATAAAGTTTTATTTAATCTCACAGATTAGAAGTTACTACAGCATTGGCAAAGAAATGGTGAACATGTTTAAGGTACTAGAGATGATTATTCAAACTAGAAATGATGAACTTCATGGAATTTTTTATTTGGCTACAATATCTGGCAAAAAGCCTTTAGCAACAGTTTTACATGTCTATTAAGAAGATTTTATACAGCGATAATGTTAACAAGCTTCCTGGGAAAATACTTAAGGATAAAATCAAGGGGCAAAAGAAGCTTCATCTCCAATAAACTTCTTTCATGCTCCTAGTGTTTTAGTGATTCACTTACAAATTTAAAGAGAAAATCATCATCTTACTTAACCCTTTTCCCAGTAACAGTTGTGTCAAGTACTACTTGACAAATCACTATCTTTAACCTTAATGAAAATTCTGCTCATATTCACCACCAGGATTATAAACCACAGCCATCTGTTGCAATCAGATGCATTACTAACTCATGCTGTGATCTATTCTAGGCTTCCCCATGTTCAACAGAGGACGCTGTCTGTGCATAGGCTCTGGAGTAAAAGCAGTGAAAGTGGCAGATATTGAGAAAGCCTCCATAATTTACCCAAGTAACAACTGTGACAAAATAGAAGTGATGTAAGTAATGAACCTGCTGAAGATGACAATGGTGCGGGCTGTTTTGTTTATGTATTTGCATCTAAACTTTAAGATTCTTTTATATGTTCTTTTAACAGTATTACCCTGAAAGAAAATAAAGGACAACGATGCCTAAATCCCAAATCGAAGCAAGGAAAGCTTATAATCAAAGTAAGTTACCAGATTATTCCCATGTTATAATCTGTTTTATCCAAGACAGATCTTTTGAAAAAGAAAATAAAGTGGACAACTACAGAAAGATTCTGCTATGATCCAGTGTGAAATATTGTTAAGGGGTCCTTGGTTAACAGCTTCTCTTTCTTACATGTTTTTAGATGTCATGAGGGAAAGCCCAAGAAAGTAAAATTCTTGTTTTCTTATTCCAGAAAGTTGAAAGAAAGAATTTTGTAAAATAACAAAACATATGAAGTCCTGGAAAAGAGGATTTGAAAACCTAGAGCAAGTTTAATTGTGACTACTGAAATGACAGGAATTCTGCAGTAGGAAACTGAGATTTTTCCATAGTTTTGTGACTATAAACTTTTTTATACTGTTATGTGAAGGATGGAAGGTGGGTGAAAGAACCAAAAACAGAAACACAGTCTTCCTGAATGAATGGCAATCAGAATTCGGCTGCCCAAAGTAGTCCAACAATTAAATCGATTTCTAGGAAAAGCTACCTTAAGAAGGCTGGTGTACCATCTGGGTTTACAAAGCGCTTTCACAATCTTACATGTTGCATTATACATTCATGCATTTCTAGGTGAGAGAATCTTCTAGATTTGATGCTTATAACTATTCTGTTGTGATTATGAGAACATTTCTATCTCTAGAAGTCATATGTCTGTATTGATCTTTACGCCATATTACTATCTGTGGTTACAGCGGAGATAGCGACATTATTACTGGAGTCAAGCCCTTATGAGTCAAAAACATCTATGTGTAGTAAAACATTCCTCGAATATATTTTCATGCAAATTCACATTTCTTTCCCCAAATATCATGTAGCACATGAACATGTAGGGAAAAAGTTCTTATGCATCATTTGCTTTGTTTTATAACCAATTCATAAAATGTACTATGAAAAAAATGATATGCTATGCGATACTGGCAAGAGTGCACATATTTTATAACCAGATCAGTAGCACTGGTCTTAATTTGATGTTTTTCAATTTTTTTATTGAGATGTTTTGAAGCGATATGTACATTTTGGTTTTATCTATCTGTATAAATGTTAGCAATATCTTGGACATATTTGAAATATAAAATTTTTTTTCTACAAAAGAAAAATGTTGAAAAATAAACATATATATATGGCAATCACCTTTACTTTGTGTGATTCTGTCTCTTAGAAAAATAGATAATATAATCAATTTCTTTGGTCATGCCTATATAAATTTAGGTATACCCAAGACTAGCTTAAAGAATCAAACTCGTTTTTCTTTAATAACCTGTCACAATCTTTCTTGAAAAAAAAACCAACTATATACTTTCCAGGACATCTGAGATTCCTTGAACAATTTTGCCTTATATTTTAAAAAACATACAGCTATCTGTCATCATGCAAAACTGTTTAGAAATATCTTTTAATGGGTAGGTGGGAAAGACAGTTGTTTGTTTTGTTGGCTGGGTGGTTGGTCTTGATAGTCCAAACCCCCTTCTTACTTGGGGAAAATCCCTTATGTGAGGGTTGATGGGAGGCCAAAAGAGAGAAGATCCTCTCCTGTAGCCGTAACAAGGACTCAGCCAAGCTGTTTGTACCCTAGATTTTGAACTCCAGCTGGCATTACAAAGATACTATTAGTTAAGAAAATTACTTAAAGCCTGGCAGCAACAACAGCAGCAACAATGAAAGGCTTACAGTAGTGGCTTCCCAACATGTGTTCCTGTAGCATGACTCTGGCTAGTCCTTTCTATCACCTAGCTCCCTTAGGTCTTTGTCCATTTTCCAAGCCTTATTCTCCACTGTCCTGTGCATTCTTCAACTTCCAACTACATTCCTTTTCTCCTTAAAATAGCCAGAGCTGGTTTCTCTGCATGTAACCAAAAGCCTTGACTGACAGCAGTACTCTTTATATAGGCACCCATATGTTTGAAAAATAAAAATATTTATTATAGGATTATAATCAGGTATATCTATATTGTATTATTATATAGGTTATAGATATAATATAGATTTATAATACATGTGTTATATAAATCTGTATATAGAGATTGGGACTTCCATATAAATTCTCTGGATAGTTTTAAGACCTGAATCTAATCTTTGACTACTTACAGCGATTTTTTTTTTAATTCACATAGTTGGCTGAGTGTGGTGGCTCACACCTTCTAATCCAAACACTTTGGGAGGCTGACATAGGTGAATGGCTTGAGCCTAGGAGTTCAAGACCAGCAATGGCAAAAAACTAATCTCTACAAAAAATACAAAAACTGTTACACCAATGCTCATAGCAGCATTATTCACAACAGCCAGAAAACAGAAACAACCCAAATATCCATCAACAAGTGAATGGATAAAATGTGGTATAAACACAATAGATTACTCAGCCATAAAAAGGAATGAAGTACGGATACATGCTACAACATGGATGAACCTTGAAAATATGCTAAGTAAAAAAAGTCAGACACAAGAGACCACATATTGTATGATTTCATTTTATATGAAATATCTAGAGTAGGAAAATCCATAAAAACAGAAAGCAAATTAGTTGCCTTGGGTTTGGGCATGGGGTTAATGAAGAGTAACTACTTAATGAGTATGGGGCTTCTGGGTGATGAAACTGTTCTGAAATTAAATTATGGTGATGGCTTCACAGCACTGTGAATGTACTTAATTCTACTGAACTGTACTCTTAAATGGTTAAAATGGTAAATTTTTATGTTATTTGTATTTTACTATCATAAAAACAAGAAGGACTGGCCAGGCAGGGTGGCTCATGCCTGTAATCCCAGCACTTTGGGAGGTCGAGGAGGGCGGATCACCTGAGGTTGGGAGTACGAGACCAGTCTGACCAACATGGAGAAACCCCGTCTCTACTAAAAACACAAAATCAGCTGGGAATGGTGGCACATGCCTGTAATCCCTGCTACTCGGGAGGTTGAGGCAGTAGAATCCTTAAACCCAGGGGGTGAAGGTTGTGGTGAACTGAGACTGTGCCATTGCATTCCAGCCTGGGAAACAAGAACAAGACTGTCAAAAAATAAAAGGGCTAACATATGTGGTACTGGGGCACTGGTGAGATTAGAAATATAATGACAAGTACACTGTAAATAGAGAATCAAGGCAGTGACAAGAAACAAGGAACATGCTAAGGATTTGAATCTAAATTTAAGGCAGAGAAGGAAAAAAAGCTGAACTTTTGAGGTTTGACAGAATAGCACTGTCACGAACAGAAACAGGGATATCGGGGGAAGATGTGGTTTAGCAGAAAAAACTGCAGATTTGATTTTAAATACGTGGAACTGAAGAGGCCAAACACCCACAGTGACTTTTCAGGACTGTTTCCTCTACTTAGCCAACAAGAGCTTTCAAACAAATGGAGTACTTTGGATAATACTATTAGAAAAAGAAAGAATATACTTAATTATTTTTGGCTACTGAGTACAGGACCTAATATGTCCACATGGAATTAACATGCCTCCACCTGCCTCAGCCTCCCGAAGTGCTGGGATTACAGGTATGAGCCACCGCACCCCGCCTCTGAAAAGATTTTCATAGCCAACAATTATAAATCTTTATGATATGGTCAGCACAGTCTGTGGATTATAAGTAGTACACACACAAACAAACTGCTTGAGTTTTTTTTTTTGAGAAGAGGTGAACGAGGCAATTATTAGTTGCTTCTTCCTTCCTTGTCTACAAATTTTATTTAGCAGACACTGGTAATGAAACTGAGCAAGTCTGAGTTTATCACATAACACTGCAACCATAGTTTCACTTAAGTACCTAAGAAGAATATGTTCTAAAATCCTGGCACCATAAATACAAAGTATTAATAGTTCCTTGGTGCTGCTCAATAAACTGCTACTAAATTGGAAATGCCCTAAAGTGAATTATAGACTTTATATAATAAATCCTGACTTAGTATTCTTCTTCAAATTGTTCACAAAAAGAACTGTCAATTAAGAGCCTGAAGAAAACTGAATGATAAATCTAAAATATGGAATAACATGCTTTACTGAACTACATATCTCAAGATTCCTCTCCAAAGACAACCAATGAATCAATTAAAATGAAAACTAGACATTTTCTGAAGATTTTGATTAAAAACAGAACAAAATATCACAAAATTCTAATTTATTTTGTTTAAATATCGTATTTATGGGAAGGAGAAAGAAATGCACCATATTTCCCCTAAACACATTTACTTTATTATAATGTCCTCCAATTTTGTCTCTTCCTCCAAATGATTAAGTCTGCCATATTTGTAAAAGTCTTCTCAAGTGCATGAGTTTGGAAACACTGCATAGCCTAAAATGTATCCAAACAGAAGCTGCTCTGAGCCCCTGCTTCCTCCAACACCATGATGATTGTTAGGGACTATCACCCACTTTGCCAGCACGCACTTGTCCCTCTGCTTAGGCTTGCTATGAAGGATGAGACACATGGGTAACTGAAAAGTATGTAACCAGTATGACTGTCAGCTCAGGGAATCTTCTGAGAGCTCAGAGTGAAAACTACAAGGGAAAGCTTTGCCTTCCTCTCCCATACTTTCCAAGGCATATTCTGCACCAGCTGAGGGGATTCCCAGTCTGCAGAAATCACTGATGTCCTCCGGCTCACTTTTTAGAAAATTTCTTCTAAGCACAACAGTTTCCAGGAAAGCATCTTTTCCTTGGTCTGTACTCACAAGTCTGTCACGGCAGACTGTTCCTTTTGTTGTCTTTTTTTTTGACCTGAGGGCACAATCAGAAGCCTAAAGATAAATCAACAGCAACTAAAACGGAAACTAAAACAGGATACTTCCTTAACTTTCATTTTCTTTCAAAACTACACTCAGATCAGTGAATTCTAGGAAAGCAAATATATCATAAGCCTTGCAAAAATTGGGAGAAATATAACTTTTAAAAGACATCATTTAGATTTTTATTCAAATGATATATGCAGTCTTGGCTTTGGGTGAAATGAGTAACAGTGCGCTTGTTACTGTCTCTCAAAAGTTTGATTTTTTTTTCTAAATGATTTTCCATGTTGATTACATTTATCAGTTTCTCCCCTGAGTAGACCCCCATTTAAAACAAGAAGAGAAGCGTCCTTCATTTGATTCTATGCTCACCAGGCACTGTTCTGATACTAATTCCATTTCTCAGGTAATCTGATCCTGGGAAAGGGGTGACTTGGATACCAGAACTATTCATCCTAGTCACTGAAAAGGTTCTCATTGTAAATGGATACACTGTCTTTTAATTTTCACCTTAGTCTCTTTCAGATTTGGTTGGCAGAGTTAAGTCTCTGAGAACATGCTTACTCTGGATTATTAGGAAAAATGAGTTTCTGGACTGGAAAAACTGAGGACCAGATTTTACAGAATCCTAACAAGGCATTAGCATCCCTATGAGACTACCAACCTTCCTGACTGGTTGAATTGGCTTCCCCCTTTACCATTTTTTTTTTTTTCTTTTTTTGACATGGAGTCTCACACTGTCACCCAGGCTGAAATGCAGTTGTGGGATCTCAGCTCACTGCAATCTCCACCTCCTGGGTTGAAGCAATTCTTCTGCCTCAGCCTCCCAAGTAGCTGGGACTACAGGCATGCACCACTACACCCAGATAATTTTTTGTATTTTTAGTAGAGATGGGATTTCACCATGTTGGCCAGGATGGTATTGATCTCCTGACCTCATGATCTGCCTACCTCAGCCTCCCAAAGTGCTGGGATTACAATGAGGCATGAGCCACTGCACCTGGCCGCCCTTTACTACTTTTTATGACATTTATCTGTAATTGCACCGGTTTTCCTTTCCTGGCCACTTATTTATGTAAAATTCACACTTTATGGCTCATCTGAGGTCTTTTCTTCTGAAGGATCTTCTGAAAACTTCTGACCTTAATGAGTACAGGCTCCTAAGAACCTCCATATTATTTATTTTTTATACCACCACTCATTTGGTACTAATCATAGTTTCTTTCTTTCTTTCTTTCTTTTTTGAGATGGAGTTTTGCTCTTGCTGCCCAGGCTGGAGTGCAATGGCGTGATCTTGACTCACTGTAACCTCTGCCTCCAAAGTCCAAGCGATTCTCCTGACTCAGCCTCCTGAGTAGCTGGGATTAAGGGTGCCTGCCAACATAGCCAGCCAATAGACAGAGTTTCACCATCCTGGCCAGGCGGGTCTTGAACTACTCACCTCAGGTTATCTGCCTTTCTGGGCCTCCCAAAGTGCTGGGATTACAGGTGTGAGCTGCCATGCTCAGTCTATAAAGTTTCCTTTATTGATATTTATCATTTCATAGTTTTTGGTCTTTTCAATTAGAATATAAACCCATCACGGATAAATATTGGACATTATCCCTTTCAGTATTCCCTGAGATTAGCTTAGTTCCCTACAGAAAGTGCACAGAAAATAATTAGAACAAGTCTACTTCTCCTACTCCTTCTAACACCATCAGATTTGCATTTCTGCATTCATTTATTCAGTGTTTAATTACAGATAACAAACGGGAATAATGAAGAAGTTTTTTTTGGGCACCACTCTATATTCACCTCAGAGTTCTTGGAATGAAGAGTCTGTCCTATAGCTAGCTGAGAATATCTGTATTGATTTTACCTACCTAAATCTAAACTAACTTCTAGGGAAACTGTAGTCTTCTCAAATTAAACTTGGTTCTTAAAGCTAGGGAAAACAATAATATTCATGTCCAAATTCAGAAATCTGATGAACCAATGGAAATGCTTTTTGAAATACAATCCTTGTATGTTGTTAAATCTGTAAAGATTCATTCATGCATCCTTCCATCCAGTGTTTACCAAATGCTTCTCATATCCATTTTAGTTCCCTGCTCTCCTGGGGCATACATTCTAGTGTGGAGAAACAGACATTACACCAGTTAAAAAAAAAACAAAAAACTGAATATCAGATAGCGAGAAATCCCATGTAGAAAATGCAAATAAAGTCATGCCTGCTTCAGACTGGGTGATGCAAGCTAAAGTCTAAATGTCCAGAAGGATCTCTCTGTGATGAATGGGAGGAAAAGCATTTCAGATGGAGAAAACTTCCAGTGTAAAGGCCACTGACTGGATTGTAGTGGTTGAGAAGGAATAATATAAGGTTGGATAAATAGGAAGCAACCAGATCATAAAGGACCTAGTAAAGCAGCTCAATTAAAAATTGGAATTTTAGGCTGGGCGTGGTGGCTCACGCCTGTAATCCCAGCACTTTCGGAGGCCAAGGCGGGCAGATCATGAGGTCAGGAGATTGAGACTATCCTAGCCAACATGGTGAAATCCCGTCTCTACTAAAATACAAAAACTTAGCTGGGTATGGTGGCGCGTGCCTGTAGTCACAGCTACTTCGTAGGCTGAGGCAGGGGAATTGTTTGAACCTGGGAGGCAGAGGTTGCAGTGAGCCAAAATCACGCCACTGCACTCAAGCCTGGTGACAGACCAAGACTCCTTCTCAAAAAAAAAAAATTAGATTTTATTTTAAGTGGAAGTTGAGGTCTTAAGCAGATCACTTACATTTTTAAAATTAAAAAAGTGATTATGTTTCACTGCTGCATATGTACTTCACAAAATGAAAGCATATGCCCAGAAATAAATTATACAAAAACCTTCATAGCAGCTTTATATACAACTAAAATCTGAACACAGTCAAGGTGTCCATCAACAAGAAACAAATTGATATCCTTATGCAATGGATTCAATGAAGAGAAACAATTTACTAATTCTTGCAAATACATCAATGAATCTAAGAAACACTATACTGAGCAAATGGTGGTTTGCGCAAGAGTATATACTTAAGTGGTTCCAGTTACATGAAATTCCAGAACAGGCAAAAATAATCTATGGTGAAAAAAACAGAAAATGGCTAGGTCAGGGGTAGAGGTTATTATAAGGATAAAATGAGTTGTTATGGTCAATACTCATAAAGCAGTTCAAACAATGCCTGGCACACAGTTAATGTAATACAATATTTAGTAAAAATCAAATATTTTATCCCTAACAACAGATTTTTAGTCCATTTATCAAGTATCTCCTTTTTACACGGTCTTCTGTACAGAGATATCTTAGCTAACAACTTAAATACTAACTAAAATAAAACTGTTACCATCTCTCATTTTCATTGTTTAATGTTGAACTTTTCAGGGCCTCTTCCATTCATGATGTCAGACATTTCTCTGAAATTTGTTGGCATTCTTATTCACAGTCAAATGTTTATTCTGCACAAATAGATATGGTAGGATCCCCCATGTCACTGTTTCTCACAAGCCTTTCCCTTAACAGAAAGATTGTCTCTTTGGTAGGTCAAAGTCGTTGGAGTTCTGTCAGTCTCTATCTCACCTCCCTCCCTTTTGTCTTTCCAGTTTCCCACAGCTAATTCTACTGACTTACTCACTTGAAAGCTTAGCTCTATTCCAGTCCCTAGAACAGATTAATATGAGATTCAGCTCTCTAGCAAATTCCATTTCCTCCAAGCAACTCACTCTTGGTTCTAATGATGGAGTTCCTGCATTTGAGGACCCAAGTCTTACATGGGCCCAATTTGCAGATATAGGCTTTATTCTTGGCCTCTGATACCAGGTTGTGAGACCGTACCTGCCAGATACAGTAGCCTGATCCTAGGATGGAAGCTTTGCCATTTCCTGACCAGTCCCTGCATTGTTGCAGCCTAGCTGACTATGAAAAGAATTCCCGTATGTTTTCCTAGGTTCTAAGTATCACCTGCCTCACATCTCTCATTGCAGGGTGATGCCTGCTTTTGAAACAGTATTTCATTTTGGATTCCCTGTTGCCAATCATTTGCAAAGAACACAACCAAGGACCACTATACCCATGGATACTTCTAAATTTCCACTGTCAGGTTCAACATGTGTTCCATTTTATGTGTATTATGTGCTTTCTACTGCTAGTTACTGTGAATAATCAGCCAAGTACTATTGAATGCTAAGAAATTAAGTTTTGCCACTATTCATCATCCAAAATTGTGCTACTTGGCCAGGCGAGGTGACTCACACCTGTAATCCCAGCACTTTGGGAGGTCGAGGCAGGCAGATCACAAGGTCAAGAGATTGAGACCATCCTGGCCAACATGGTGAAACCCTGTCTCTATTAACAACGAAAAAATTAGCTGGGCACGGTGGCAAGTGCCTGTAGTCCCAGTTACTTGGGAAGATCACACCACTATACTCCCTGTACTCTAGCCTGGAGACACAGTGAGAGTCCATCTAAAAAAAAAAAAAACTGTACTAATTTCAGTTATTGTTACTAGTTCAATGGCTGACCCTTCTTTTTTTGCTTTTGTTTTGCATTTAACAGTCTCTTGGAGTGGAACCCCGTCTTAAATCAACCTGTTTCCCTCCTGTCTCAAGCTGCTTTCCCAATGTCTATATGCAGATCCCTCCTTTTAAATTTATTTCCTCAAAAAGCATTCTTTGTTTTTTACAATAACCCTAGGATAGATATGAATCCTTTTCTCACACCATTCTAGATACCATCTTATGATGTTTTCATTCAGGGACTGCTGTAAGACATGACACTTTTTTAACACACCAGAAATCGGATACCCAAATGAGCAGTGTTTTCCCTCAAAATAATTATGTTGGAGGTTATTTACTTAATCTAATGGTGTTATGAATGATCAAAGCATTTATTGAATTATTTAAAACTTGCCAGTTCCATATCTTTGACCCTGTCTGGGCAGGTCAATCCTATTACTATGTAGTATTTAATCAAGGAGCACTGTCCAGTAAATCACTGTTCTAATAATCAGGTACAACTTGTTGTTACCAAAAATTAGGTTTTCCTATAAAGGATGAAAATTTTCTATTACTTGGGATATTTTTTAAATAGCCTCTTAAAGTAACTATAAAAGTTTAAGGTAAGTGTTGAGAAAAAGCATTATATTTTGAATGGCAACCTTTGTTTTTTTTTCTATATGCAATAAAGTTCTGTTTTCAAGAAACAGTTCATGTTTTGGGAAGTGAAACCTAGTTCACTATTACTGAAAAAAGAGAAGCAGAGGGAAATTCCTTATCTTGGAGGCCACGATAAACAAAAATACTACCTTCGATTTTCCAATTTGGGACTCCCCCAGGAACAGCCAGCCGGTTTTGCTGAGTCAACAGTAATGTTATCCAATCAAGAGTCAGGGAGGGAAAATGCCTTTGCAGATAAATACTGCACAGTTGCCTCACATTTTCTGAGACATTCCTCAACTGCTTAGACATATTCTGAGCCTACAGCAGAGGAATCTCCAGTCTCAGCACCATGAATCAAACTGCCATTCTGATTTTCTGCCTTATCTGTCTGACTATAAGTGGCACTCAAGGTAAGGAACATCCAAGGATACTTAATTTGTAAAATGAGAAATAGGAGTGGGTATAAATTCTAAAAATATAGAAATAATGTATCTGTCAACATTTCACTGCATGCCTATAAATAAGAGGGAAAGAGAGATTCCCTCAGATTGTATAACTTACATGAATTGAAGAGAACAAAAAGAACAAGAGAAAGAGAAAAAAGGGAAGGAGGACAGAAGAGATGGGAAAGAGGGAGGAGAGAGAGAAATGTGAGGAAATGCAGAAAGGATGAGATACAGATATTTTCTTACCTAAGCTTAATGAACCACATGAACTGGTTCATTATGAACTGGTTATCTATGAACTCAGTATGTTCCAAGAAGAACCCACTCTGAAGGGTTTGACTTTATAATCAACAAGCTGCAAATCTTCTTCTAGATAATCAACTATTTAATCATTTACAGTTGTGTTATGATGTGATCGATTCCTTCTCAGATTAAGTGACTATTTGATGATATGGGGATACACGTTCTGCTAAATACCACCAGTCTACATTAAATGCCTAAAATGAACACTGTGCTAACCTTCCCTGCTGTTCCTTTCTCTTTCCCTACAGGACTGCCTCATTCTAGAACTGTACGCTGTAACTGCATCAGCATTAGTAAACATGTTAATCCAAGGTTCATAGAAACACTTGAGATTATTCCTGCAAGTCAATCTTGTTCACGTGTTGAGATCATGTGAGTGAAATCCCATTTGATTATCACCTCCCTGGTTGTAATTATATACTGTATTAAATATGTAATGATAATAACAAAAGATCAGTAAAGGGTTTGTGATGATTCTAAAACTAATGTACAGCAAACAAAAACATGCAGAGTGAAACTTAAATGTCTGACTTCAGAACTATGTATGCCATCTATTTTATTGACCCAACATTGTTTTAAATATTTTCATCCCTATATGTTTCTGCAGTGCTACAATGAAAAACAATGGTGAGAAGAGATGCCTGAATCTGGAATCTAAGGCCATCAAGAATCTACTGACAGCAGTTAGCAAGCTAAGGTAGATTTGCTGTTGCTTGCAGAATTGCTCTTTAGGAAATGGCAATCTTGGGAGTCAGAAATACTTACATTGCAGTTTGCTGTGCAATCACTGGTTTAAAAGTATGTTACTACCATGCCCTCCCTCTCCTACCTCCATTCATTTATATGCTGAGGTACCATCTTGTGTGATGTTACCCTGATTACCTGTTAACCTTGAAGTACAGCTATAACTAAGCAAAACTGCTATATTTTCCCCCAAGTCTTTCGTGGCTTGAAAAAAAAGCAGCCCCTGGAATCCATAATGAATGTGTAGCAGCAGGAAAGCTCATCACAACCTTTACCTGAGGATCTTTGGGTTATCTATGAACTCAGTATGTTCCAAGAAGAACCCACTCTGAAGCCAGAGTCTGAATATCACACTTTTATATCGTCTTTCTCTTCTTACAGGTCTAAAAGATCTCTTTGAAACCAGAGGGAAGCAAAATCAATGCAGTGCTGCCAAGAATGGACCACCCAGAGGCTGCCTCTCCCATCACTTCCCTATATGGAGTATATGTCAAGCCCTAATTATTTTTAGTTTACAGTTCTACTAAAAGGTGACTGATCATGGTCACCAAATCAGCTACTACTACCCCTGTAGGAAAGTCGATAGTTCATCATCCTAAGCTGCTCAGTAATAACTCTACCCTGGCACTATAATATAAGCTATACTGAGGTGCTATGTTCTTAGCAGATGTGCCAAGTCCTAACCCTGCTTCTGGTATTTCCCTTACCTTTACTATCTTCCAAGGGTACTAAGGAATCTTTCTGCTTTGGGGTTTATCAGAAGTCTCAGAATCTCAAATAACGAAAAGGTATGCAATCAAAGTGATAATACAATCTGCTTTTTAAGGAATGCTCTTTATTTCATGGACTTCTGCCATCCTCCCAAGGGGCCCATATTCATTCAGTGGCTGCCTACGTACAATTCCAAATACAGGAAGATAGAAATGTCTGAAAATATATGTGTAAATATTCTTATGTAATTAAAGACTCTACAAAGTAGAAGTCTTAGATGTATATATTTCCTATATTGTTTTCAGTGTATATGGAATAACTTGTGTAATTAAGTACTATGTATCAATAAGGAACAAAATTTTTTAAAAATATAGATATATGCTCTGCATGTTATGTAAGACAAATGTGCTGAATGGTTTTCAAAATAAACATGATGTACTCCCATGGAAATATTGAGAAAGATTATCTAAATGTTGAAAGACCAAAAGGTTAATAAAGTAATTATAACTAAGATGAAGTGTCTTGTGGGTCATTTGTTTGGGATATGTATTTTGTAAGCAATTTAGATGGGAGAATCCATGGTCTGGAGAAGGTGGGCTGGGTAGAAGACAAATGAGTTAGAGAATTACCACTCTATCTCCTTGCAACTGTAATCTCCTGAAAGCCCATCACATAAGATCCTACAGAACTAGTGTAGCATAGTAGAGCTTCTCCTAATCTCCAAACGCCTATAGCCAAACTTTTTTTAATTTTTTGATTTTTAGACACAGAGTCTTCCTCTGTCACCCAAGCAGGAGTGCAGTGGTGCAATCACAGCTCCCTGCAGCATCAAACTCCTGGGCTCAAGTAATCCTCTGACCTCAGCCTCCAGAGAAGCTGAGATTACATGTCCAAGCCACCACATCCAGCTCTATAGCCAAATTTCTTTAAGACATTTCCACTTGAATATCTCGTGTAACTTTAAACTCCAAAATAAACTAATTCTCCTCTCCCCCAGATCTCTTTCTCCTCCTCTATTCGATGTCCTAGTTTAACTGCACCATCATCCAATCGGTCCCCCCCGAACCAGAAACCGGGGAGTAATTCTATACTACTACTCCCTCCCCTCCTACATCCAATTACTTACTAAGAAGATCTTCACAATACATTTAATTGGCAAATTATTAGCATCTGGAATACATAAAGAACTCCCATAGATCAAAAAAGAAAAGGAAAGTCTGGTTACAGTGTGCCATGCCTGTAATCCTAGCACTTTGGGAGGCCAAGACAGGAGGATTGCTTGAACTCATGAGTTTGAGACCAGCCTAGCAACACAGCTAGACCCTGTCGCTACCAATTTTTTTTTTTTTTTTAGCCTCTCAGAAGGCTGAGGCAGGAGGATCACTTGAGCCCAGGGGTCTGAGGTTACAGTGAGCTATGAGAGCTATGACTGCACCACTGCACTCCAGCTTGGGCAACAGAGTGAGATTCCATCTCTAAAAGAAAAAAAGGAAACAGAAGTGAGTAAGGATTTCACAGAAGTAAGAAGCACAAGCCCCTAACACAAAGATGTTCAACTTCATTTGTAATCAAGGAAATGTATACTCAAATCATTATGAAATAACATTTCACATCCCTAAACTGGCAAAACTTTTATAGTAAGATAACATCAACCATTACCAAGGGTGCAAGGTAACGAGGAATGCTCTTCGAGAACTGCTGATGAAAGAACAAATGGCTGTGACTACTGGAAAACAGTTTGGTGTTATCTTACAAAGCTAAACACTGGCATACCCCATGCTCCAGCAATTCTACTACTATGTACATGCCACAGATAATCTTGTGTAGGACATGTATCAGAATGTGATAGCAGCATTGCTTCTTTACTTTATCAGATTGAATCTTTTTTTATCTAATGAGCTTCAATGTACAGTACACTGATCTTCTTCCCAGAAAGAAGCAATAAAATATTTTAGTATAATTTTAACATAGTTCATTCAATTGCAAGTACACAGTTTAATTTTTAATAATGACTGCATTTAAAAAGTAACTCACATAATTCACAAAATCTAACCATTAGCTCTCCCTAGCCAATACAAGCCATCACCAGAATAGCAACAGAATAGTAGTGCTTTTATTTTCTATAATTATTCGATTTTTCTTTTTTACTCCTTTCCTGAGCATTGCAAAATCACACTTAGTTCTAATCTTTTTGATATTTTTCATCTTTTGGTGGGGTCATTTTTTCCCAAAAACTTTATTATGTTCACATTCCCATGACTTCATTGGATTACTTCCTTTCTGGCATATGTTGGTTTTTTTTCCCCCCTTGAGATGAGGTCTCACTCTGTCACCCAGGCTAGAGTGCAAATGGTGTGATCTCAGCTCACTGCAACCTCCACCTCTAGGCTTAAGGAATCCTCCCACCTCAGCCTTCCAAGTAGCTAGGACCACAGGTGTGTACCACCAAGCCAGCTAAACATTTTTTTTTTTTATTTTTGGTAGATAATACAAACATGAGGCTTCACCATGTGCCCAGGCTAGTCTCAAACTTCTGAGCTCAGGTGATCCACCCACCTCAGCCTCCCAAAATGCTGGGATTATAGGCATGAGCCACAATGCTTGGCTCTGGCATATGTTCTTAATTTGCTTTGTTTAGATTCACTTTTATGTGGCAATGTAAAATACAGTAAACTTGGCATTCCATTCATAGCACAGGGAGACTTTTCATGGCATATTACTTTGTATTTACTACTTCTTGAATTTTTTTCTTTTATTTTAGGTTCAGGGAGTACACATGCGGGTTACATGGGTAAATTGTGTATTGTGGGGGGTATGGTGTACAGATTATTTCATCACCAGGTAATGAGCATAATACCAAATAAGTAGTTCTTGCCTCATCTTCCTCCCACCCACACTGTCAAGTAGGCCCCAGTATCTATTGTTCCCTTCTTTGTGTCTATGATTACTCAATATTTAGCTTCTAAGTGAGAACATGCAGTATTTGTTTTTCTGTTCCTGTGTTAATTTGTTTAGGAAAATGGCCTCCAGGCCCATCTGTGTTGCTATAAAGGACATGATTCTGTTCTTTTTTAGTATTACATGGTATATATGCACCACATTTTCTTTACCAAGTCTACCATTGATGGACATCTAGGTTGGTTCCATGTCTTCGCTATTGTGAATAGTGCTGTGACGAATATACACGTGCAGGTGTCTTTATGGTAAAATTTTTCATTTCTTTGGGTATATACCCAGTTATGGGATTGCTGGGTTGAATAGTAGCTCTATTTGAAGTTCTTTGAGAAATCTCCAAACTGCTTCTCACAGCGGCTGAACTAATCAGTACCTCTTTCAGCAATATTAAGTTAAAATCAGGTAGGAAAGATGGTCTTGAATTGCCAATGCCACCCTTCTCCCTTCCCCTGGCAGTGGTCATGTGGCACAGAAATATAATCTGTGTGCTTGGGGGAACCCAGTGCTGCTATGTCACAGTGGAAAGCAAAATTAGGCTGAATTCAGTTGATGCCCACAGAGGGAGCATTAGACCAGCCCTAGCCAGAGGGGAATCACCCATCCTAGCAGTTAGAACTTGAGTTTTGGGAAGTCTTACCTCCGCTGGCTAAAGTACTCTGGGGTCCTAAACAAATTTGAAAGGCAGTCTAGGCCACAAATACTGCAACTCCTAGGCAGTCCTAATGCTATGCTGGAAAGCTAGTGGACTTGGTGGACACAGGACCTAGTAGAGGGAACATGACCTAGTGAGACATCAGCCGGGGCAGCAAAGAGAATGCTTGTGCCACCCTTCCCAATCTCAGGCAACACTGCTCAAACCAATAAAAGTGACTCCTTCCTTCTGCACGAGGAGAGGGAAGAGTAAAGAGGACTTTGTCTTGCAACTTGGATGCCAGTTCAGCCACAGTAGGATAGGGCACTCTGGGCAGAGTCATGAGGCCCCTATTTCAGGCCCTAGATCCTGGATGACATTTCTAGACATGCCCTGGGCCAGAAGGGAACCTGCTGCCTGGAAGGGAAGGACCCAGTACTGGTAGAATTCATCACCTGAGGATTGAAGAGCCCTTGGGCCCTGAATAACCAGCAGCAACACCCCGATAGTACACAGTAGGCCTTGAGTGAGACTCAGACATGCTGGCTTTAGGTGAGACCTAGCACATTCCCAGCTGTGATGGTTATGGTGAGAGATTCCTTCTGTTTGAGAAAAGCAGAAGGAAAAGTAAAGAGGACTTTTTCTCACACCAGGTACCAGCTCAGCCACAGTGGGGTAGAGTATCAAGTGGGCTCCTGGGTCCCCAATTCTAGCCTTGACTCTTAGATGGCATTTCTGGAGCTGCCGTGGGCCAGAGGGGAGCCCGTTGCCCTGAAAGGTGAGTCTGAGGCCTGGCAGCATTCACCATAAGAAGATTGAAGAGCTCCTGGGCCTTAGGTGAACACTGATGGTAGCCCAGCAGTACATTCCATGGGCTTGTGGTGACGGGCATGAGTAAAAGGCTCCTCTGCCTCTGGAAAGTGGGTGGGGAGGAGTGGGAAAAGACTTTGTCTCATAGTTTGATTGCCAGCTTAGCCACAACAGAATAGAGCACTGGGTAGATTTCTAAGGTTTTTGACTCTAGTCCCTGGCTCCCAGATAGCATCTCTGGGCCCATCTGGTGCCTGGGAGAACTTGCTGCTTGTAGGGGAGTATATAAGCCTACAACTTTTCCACATGCTGATGGTAGAACCATAGAACCTTGAGCAAACACAGATGGCAGCCAGGTAGTGTTTACAGTGACATGCCTTGGGTGAGACCCAGTGCTGTGGTGGCTTCAGGTCTGACCCAGCACAATGCCAGTGGTGGTAGCCACAGGGGTGCTTGTGTCACCCCACCTCCCAGCCCCAAGGGGCTCATCACAGAGAGACAGACTTCATTTGTTTAGGAGAAACTAAGGGAAGAGAACAAGTGTCTGGTAATCCAGAGAATTCCTCCAAATCTTATCTAAGACCACCAAGGTTGTACCTCTTTGAGTCTGCAAGAATTACAGTATTACTGGGCTTGGGGTATTCCTAATGCAAATATGGATTAGATAGCAACACTCAAGTATCTTCAAATATCTGGAAAGTCTTCCCAGAAAACACAGGTACAAAAAAGCTCAGACTTTGAAGACTATAATAAATACCTAACTCTTCAATGCCCAGACACCAACAAACATCCACAAGCATGAAGACCATCCAGGAAAACATGACCTCACCAAAGGAACTAAATAAGGTACCAGGGACCTATCCTGAAGAAACAGAAATATGTGACCATTCACAAGGAATCCAAAGTAGCTGTTTTGAAGCAATTCAAAGAAATTCAAGATAACACACAAAAGAATTCAGAAGCTGTATTAGTTTGTTTTCACACTGCTGAAAAAGGCATACCCAAGACTGGGCAATTTACAAAAGAAAGAAGTCTATTGGACTTACAGTCCCATGTGGCTAGAGTGGCCTCACAATCATGGCAGAAGGTGAAAGGCACATCTCACATGGTGGCAG